CCCGCCCCGCCCGCGACCCTGCGGAACCTAGAGTCGCAGGCGCCCTCTTGGAGGACGGAATTCGACGTCGGACTCTGCGCCTCGCGTAGTTCCGGTGGCGACTGCGGAGCATGGCGGTGAGCGGTGTGGAGAAGACCCGCGGGTGGCTGGGCGTCGCACTGTCGGTGGCCCTCCGTGACCCTCGTGCTGCCCCCCTTTCTCCAGGCCCTAGGACATCTTGCCGGGGAGGCAGCGGCGGCCCCAGGCCCGGGTACTCCCTGCGCGTCCCGCAGACACCGGCTTCCCGGCCTGGTTTCCAGCGTCCGGAATCCCTCCACTGTCTGTCTCTGCCCAGGGCAACCCACGAGCAGTAACGCCGACACCAGAGCGCACCCGTTAGGCGATGAAGGCAGTGCAGCGTCGAAAAAACAAAAGAATAAGAAGAAAACCCGGAACAGGGCCTCTGTGGCAAATGGAGGCGAGAAGGCCTCAGAGAAACCCGCCCCAGAAGAAGTGCCCCTAAGCGCTGAGGCCCAGGCAAGGGCGGGCGTCAGTCAGGAAGGGTGGAATCCCCTGGTGCGAATCCACGGGCACATGTGATCTGGGGTCCGCAGAGTTAAGGCGGGGAGGGGGATGGGATGGGGCCAGGCGCTGTGTTGTGTCCCAGTGCCCTCTCACAGCCACTTCCCCAAATCCGTCACAGGCGCAGCAGTTGGCCCAGGAATTGGCTTGGTGTGTGGAACAACTGGAGCTTGGCCTCAAGAGGCAGAAACCCACCCCGAAACAGAGTAAGAGACCTTTCTATAGAGTTGGGGAATGTGAACAGTGGCACCGCCTGGCCTGCAGGTGCTGGCAGAGGTGAAGTTGTTTCCTTTGCGGTGGGGCAGTAGGAGGTCAGTAGTAGAGGTTTTCACTAGTCCTTTGTTTTTATTCGCAGAAGAGCAGGCTATTGGAGCAATCCGAACCCTGCGCAGCAAAAGAACGCCCCTGCCCCGAAAGAGGCAGTTGATGCACTCCTTATTTGGAGACTATAGGGCTCAGATGGAAGCTGAATGGCGTGAGGCCCTGCGGGCTCTCAGATCTGGTGAGGAGCTAGTAACTGGTTGATTTAGGAAGGCCTAATTTAAGGAGGAAGTGCCTAGGGGGTGAAAGGAAGAAGGCCCGGAGCAGCAAGGATGGTGGGGGAAGGAGATGAGCTCAGGGAAGCCTGAGGGAACAGGGAAAGAGCAAGGATGGACCTGTCTCTCCTTTTCCCAGGACTGAACCTGGGAAGCAGCGGGGAGGTCATGGGAGGAGCAGGAAAGAGTGTGGCCCTGTGTTGGTCCTGCTCCTGGCTTGGGGAAAGCTGTCTTATGTCTTTGTGTCTTGGCTCTCTCTACTGGCAATGAAGCCATATCCCATAACAGTTTGAGTGCAATTCCTGGAGCCAGATGAGCTAGGTTCAAATCCTGGATCTACCACATAGTAGTACTAACACCTTTTGCAAACTACTGAACCTCTCTAAATGGTGGGTGATAGTAATATCAACCTTACAAATTTGAGGAATTAGTTAATTTATTCAAAGTGGTTAGAATTGTATGGGCAAACATAACTGTACAGGTAATGTTAGCTATTGTTATTCAGTTCTCACATACGCTGCTTCTCTCCCCTGACAGCTGCTTATTTAGCCCAGGTGCAGCCTGTAGATGGAGCCACCAGAAAGAAGAGCCGAAGGGTCTGCAGGCCTCGCCCTATAGGGCGAGCCAAAGCCACTCTGGACACTCCTGATGAAGAGTTTAGGTTCAATTTCTTTTAGCTTCTCCCCCAACTTGGAACATTCCCCCTCCCTTGGGGTGGTGTAGGGGTTTGTTTTGAGTGCAGAGCCTTTCCAGGACTTCTGTTGGCAGAGAACCCTGGGGTTGGTCTGTCCCTGGCTGGTCCAAGGATTTGGAGCTGTTGTGAAGGTGTGAGACCATCAGATAGGCAGAAGACCCCATTTGTTTTGTGATGAAATGTTCTCTCTTTCAGAACAGAGAGAGAGAGGTGCATTTAGAAAATATACAATAAATTGAAGTGACTGTTTGAAGTATTGTAGAAAGAATATCGTACTCAGTCTTTAGGATTAGATTAAGTGGCTGTTGGTAACAAAGATTAGTGGAGAAGCTATATAATTATACACTGTTTTTCACTTTTGAAAGGAATTCCTGTCAAATGGTTTAGTGCTTAATGCTGTTATGTCACATTGCCCTCGTCTCTATTTTTGATAAAATTGGATAACGAGTGAAAGAGTGTGCTGACCACCTGTGTTAGAGGAAGTACAGAAAATGGCAGGAATCTGGTTCCCTGGGTCCAGTCCCTTGCCTCGGTCCTTTGTCCATGTTGCCTTCATTCCTGAGCAGGTGTCATCCTCAGGGAACCAGCATGGCAGCCACCAGGCATGGCTCTCTTCTCAGGAGGAAGGAGCTTCTTGCCCTAACAGTTCTGGCCTGAGACCTGGATTGAGCCTCGGCAGACTTCTTGTCTAAATGTTGGCCATGTCAATCTCAGGCCCTCTGTTCCATGGAATTGGGAATCTCCAGGTGACCTAATCCTCGTTTGTGGCTTGATGTTTGCTGGTATGTTCCAAACTCGGTTCCCAGACTTGATTGATACCTGGAGCCCAGCTGCCTACTCAGCATTTCCACTTGGGTGTTTCATAGGCATTTCAAACTTGATGTGTTTAAGACACTTGATTAGGCTCCGGTTTCCCTTTGGTGAAGGGGCGGCCTGCCCCTCCACACCTGTGGGCATTTCTCATTAGGTGGAACGAGAGACTTGAGAAAAGAAATGAGACACAGAGACAAAGTATAGAGAAAGAAAAAGTGGGCCCAGGGGACCGGTGTCAGCATGCAGAGGACCCACGCTGGCGCTGGTCTCTGAGTTCCCTCAGTATTTATTGATCATTATCATTGCCATCTTAGAAAAAGGGAAGTGGGAGGATAATAGGATCATCATAGGGAGAAGGTCAGCAGTAAGACATATGAATAAAGATCTCTGTGACATAAGTTTAAGGAAAAATACTGTGCCTTGATATGCATATGCAAACATCTCCATAAACCTTTTTAGTGCATAAAGAGCAGCATTGCTGCTAGCATGTCCCACCTTCAGCCCTAAGGTGGTTTTCTCCTTTCTCAGTAAACAGAACATACAATCGGTTTTTACACCCGAGACGGTCCATTGCCCAGGGACGGGCAGGAGACAGATGCTTTTCTCTATCTCAACTGCCAACTTCTTCTCAACTTCTTTCCTCTTATACTAGTCCTCCTTAGCACAGACCCTTCATGGGTGTCAGGCTGGGGGATGATCAGGTCTTTCCCTTCCCACGAGGCCATATTTCAGACTATCACATGGGGAGAAACCTTGGACAATACCTAGCTTTCCTAGGCAGAGGTCCTGTGTCCCTGGGTACTTGAGATTAAGAGAATGGTGCTGACTTTTCACAAGCATACTGCCTTCAGGCACTTGTTCAACAAAGCACACCCTGCACAGCCCAAAATCCATTAAACCTTGAGTCACCACAGCGCGTGTCTCTTGCAAGGACAAGGTTGGGGGTAGGGTCACAGATTAACAGCATCTCAAATACAGAACAAAATGGAATCTCTTATGTGTACTTCTTTCTATATAGACACAGTAGCAGTCTGATCTGTTTTTCTTTTCCCCACATTTCCCCCTTTTCTTTTCAACAAAACCACCATTGTCATCATGGCTCGTTTTCGATGGTCGCTGTCTCTTTGGAACTGTTGGGTGTACCTGCAGACTAACAACACAGGCACACAAGGATTAATATGAAATTTACAATAGTAGTACTTTAGATGGTCTTAACTGAAGTTAAGATTTGCGAGGCCATCAGCAACTCCTGCAATTGCCTCAGTTTATGGTACCAACACAGAGAGCACATACTTCACCAGGTAATAAAATATCACAAAGCAAGTGGAGGCAGGATGAGATCACAGGACCACAGGATGGCGTTAAAATTAAAATTAAAATTGCTAATGAAATTTCCGGTATGCATTGTCATTGATAACATCTTATCAGGAAACAGGGTTTGAGAGCAGACACCCTGTCTGACCAAAATTTATTAGGCAGGAATTTTCTCGTCCTAATAAGCCTGGGAGCGCTACAGGAGACCAGGCTTATTTCATCCCTTCAGCTTCGACTGTAAAAGGCGGCACGCTTCCAAGGGGGTCATTTATGGGCCTACCCTCAGAGCGCATTCTCTTTCTCAGGGATGTTCCTTGCTGAGAAAAAGAATTCAGTGATATTTATCCTATTTGCTTTTAAAAAGAGGAGAAATATGGCTCTGTTCCGTCTGGCTGACCAGCGGCCAGTTCAAGGTTACCTCCCTTGTTCCCTGAACATCGCTGTTATCCTGTTCTTTTTTCAAGATGCCCAGATTTCATATTGTTCAAACACACATGCTCTACAAACAATTTGTGCCGTTAACACAATCATCACAGGGTTCTGAGGTGACATATATTCTCCTCAGTTTACAAAGAAGATGATGGGATTAAGAGATTAAAGACAGGCATAGGAAATTATAAAAGTATTAATTTAGGGAACTAATAAATGTTCATGAAATCTTCACATTTCGTGTTTTCCTTCCATGGCTTCAGCCAGTCCCTCCGTTCAGGGTCCCTGACTTCCTGCACATCTGTTCTTCTGATATCACCACTTTGTTCTTCTTGCGAGTCAATGGTGCTCGATTGCAGTGTTTCCATCTCCGTGGAGGTGCAGAACTTCAAATGTTTAGTGGGTATCCAAATAGGAAGCTGATTTTCTCCTGGTGAAACAAGCAAAACCTCTTCCCCAGGTTATCACCTTCCCTATTTCCCATGTCTTATTTTTGTTTTTTCACCAAATCAGTTTTCCTTCATGTGGACTGTTCTTTTTACCAGTAAGATGTTGTTCTGCAGAAGTAATAGTCTGATTTCTATAAATGTTTAAAAAATTTGAAGTATGGAGTGCTAGATTAAGTTGCATCTGAGGAGTGGTATGCTCCTTGCTGTCTCCCCCTTTTTTTGTTTGATTAACTGAGTTTTGAGTGTTCTATTCTTGATTTTTCTATTTCTGTATCCCTAAATAATGAAATGGAGTAGAGGTTTGAATCTTATCAGATGCTATTATTAGTCCTGCGTTGGCAACCTCTGCTTGCAGAAATGTGTAACAGTCAATTAATTTGTCTCTTGTTTCTGCAGCACATAAAATATCATCAATATGGTGAATGATATAACAACATGAAAATTTGTCTCTAACTGTTCAAAGGGACTTGACCTACGAAAGTCTGACAAATAGTTGGACTATTAAGCACTCCCAGAGGTAACACTTTCCACTGAAACCTGGTGGCTTGTTCTTTATTATTTATGGCTGGTATAGTAAAGGCAAATTTTTCACAATCCTGCTCTGCCAGAGAAATGGTAAAAAAGCAGTCCTTCAGATCAATTATAATTAAAGGCCAGTCTTTTGGGATCATGGCTGGAGAGGGCAATCGGGGTTGAAGAGGCCCCATGGGTTGAATTATGGCATTTACGGCTCTTAAGTCAGTTAACATACGCCATCTGCTGGACTTTTTCTGAATTACAAACA